ACCGAACCACCATCCTCAGCTGCAAAACCGCAAATGAACAAGATAGGAAATAATGATTAGATAAGATAAGAAAGCCTGGACAAGAATAAGCAAGTGGCGCCATCTGTTGGTGAAACCTGAACTAAAACATAATTTCTTTAAAGGGCAAAGATGGAATGGAATTAGGATCGTTAACAAGAACAGAAAGATTTTGAAGAACAGATCGTTAACAAGAACAGAAATAAATACGTCTTTTTGATTTCGAGAAAGTACCAGAAAATTCTCGCACGTGATTTAAAAATCTTATAAAAGGAGGAAAATCTCTCAGTTCGAGTAGTTACGTAGTTAGTTGTTGTTTAGAAAATTGCTCTTGTTGACTCTAGCGAATTCGCGGATTAGCTTTCTTTAGCTGTTTTGAATTACGTTCTATTGGACATTTGAGTAGTTAAAAGATAACTACTGTGAGATATTGCAATATTGCTATGCATAATTTGAGAAAATTTAAGGCATTTTTGTTTGTGATTTGTTAATGACAAATTTTTGTTCAATTTTCATCGGACTTGTGCATTCATTTCATAATGAACCCGTATGCACGCAACAATTTTTGGTGTCAGAAGTAGGATTTGAATGCCAATCACGAGCGATGGAAGAGCAGAAGAGCAGTTAAGACAACTGATATCAGCCTTTTCTGCGTTTAATGAGGAAATGAAAATGGGCCAGCAAGAAATGAAAGATGAGATGAAATCTGGTCAGAAAAAGATGGAAGAATCCATTAAAAAGGAAATGGAAGGCGTTCATGAAAAGTTGGAAGCTGGTCAAGTAACGTTTAAAGAAGACATAAAAGCTGTACAAGAAAATATTGAAGCAGGTCAAGACGAAATGAAAACAGAAATAACCTGCGTAATAGAAAGTAAATTTGAGGCTATGGAACACAGAATAGGAGCTGTCGAAAATAAAGTCGGGCGAATTGAAGAAAAGGTTTCTTCTGTCAAAGATGAAATAGAAGATAGAGTGTCGGCTGTGGAGCAACGAGTCGAGGGAAGAGTTTCGGCCTTCCAACAACAAATTGAAGAAAGAGTTTCTGCCGTCCAAGGACATATTGAACAAGAAATCGAAGACAGAATTTCTGCTGTCGTCGCCAAAGAAGTTGACACTTTAAAGAAATTCGTAGCGACTTCAGGGAGCACTTCGGATGGTTTAAAATTTCTACCCATGCCTGCTCGTCCCTCTCTGAAGCTATCGACATATGATGGGAAGACCTCCTGGCAGGTGTATAAGACATAATTTTCTATCGTGGCGGATGCAAATGGATGGGATTCCCAAGCTAAGGCCTGTCATTTTGCCGCTTCTTTAGGAGCCGATGCAGCGGATATCCTTTAGACTCTTTCCGAAAACAAAAGATTAGATTTCGAAGCTCTGTCCAGCGCCTTGGAGTTGCGCTTCAGGGAGAAGTGTTTAAAAGACTACAGCAGGCTCCAATTAAAATCTCGTCAACAGAAGCCTACCGAAAACACTTCAGGAGCTCGCCACGGATGTTGAAAGGCTGTCTCATCTCGCCTTTTCGGAATGCCCGACAGAAACAAGGGAAATCCTGTCCTTGCAATACTTTATCGATGCCATCCAGGATTCTGAAATACAGAAAGCTCTACGAATGGCGGATGTAAAAGATTTAAAAAGCGCTCTTGTGTACGCCATGAAATTCGAGGCAGCCCAGCAAGCAACTCGTAGAGACTGCCACCCAATCGGAGCTGCTCATGTGCAGGAACCAAGGGATCAAGTTACTGTTTGTCTAGACGATATAACCAGACAACTCAAGACTATTGGTGAGAAAAAACCAACCCTAAAGTGCTGGAACTGCGGTGTTGAAGGCCACATACAAAGGAACTGCAGAATACCCCAAAGCATGGAAAGTAAGAGAGGCGGGTTAAATAGACAATTAAATGCCATGCTACAGAAAGGATTGACAAGAAACCAAAGTGCTGGAACTGTGGAACTGAAGGCCATGTATGAAAGAATTGCAGAACGCCCCAGGGTACGGAAATTGAGACCATTTCTCAGCAACGATGCAGGAAACAAATGAATGGCCATATCGAGGAACGGAGGTTGCCAGATAATGGAAAACCTTGTTTTAAAGCTCTCAAGATTTCTATAGTGAGTGGCAACAGTAACGGACTGTCCATCAATGGGCACATCGATGGAGTTCCTTGTAATATGATCATTGACACAGGAGCTAATGTTACCATCATTTGGAGAGGAATTACTGTGTCACTAGGAAAGAGTTGCTCGCCATAGTTAAAGTTGTAGAACATTTCCATCACTATCTATACGGCAGAAAATTTCTCCTCCGCACAGACCATGTCTCATTGGCCTGGCTTTTAAATTTCAAGAACCCTGAGGGTCAAATAGCCAGGTGGATAGAGAGACTCCAAGAATATGACATCACTATCCGTCATCGTAAGGGATCATCACACGGGAACGCCGACGCCCTGTCTAGAAGACCTATACCGGAAATTCCAATCGGATGATGGGAAGACATTCCGATGGCAACTGATATTTCCAAGATCCCAGATTCCTGATGTCCTTAAAGAACTACATAACAGCCCTACAGGAGGTCACTTTGGAATAATGAAGACCTTGCAGAGAGTTTGTGAGCGCTTTTACTGGAATAATTCAAAGGATGACGTGCAAAAGTGGTGCCGATCTTGCAATGCCTGTGCAGGTCGGAAAGGACCGAAGAGACGCAGCCGAGGCAAGCTGCAATGTTACAACGTAGGGGCGCCTTTTGAACGTATCACCTTTGACATCTTGGGACTCTGCCACGAAGTGCTGATAGCAACAAATACATATTCGTTGTCATTGATTACTTCACCAAGTGGCCTGAAGCGTACCCCATTCCTGATCAAGAGGCTGTCACAATAGCTGAGGTGATGGTACAGCACTGGATTTGTAGGTTCGAAGTGCCTCTTCAGTTACATTCCGATCAGGGAAGGAATTTTACGTCGGGAGTAATAAAAAAACTCTACAAACTACTCGGCATTGACAAAACCCAAACGTCATTACATCCCCAGTCGGACGGCATGGTAGAGAGGTTCAATTGAACCATCCTTAATAACCTCTCATTAGTGGTTTCCAGAAACCAAGAAGGATTGGGACAAGAAATTATTACTGTTTTTACTGGCTTACCGCAGTGCTGTCCACGAGACTACCAGCTATTCCCCATCACAGATGCTCTTCGGTCGTGACCTTCGTCTGCCTTGTGATCTCTTGTTTGGTCGCCCTCCGGATGTTCCTTCATTGCCTGAGGAATATATTAAAGATCTCCAGGCCTGGTTTGAAGTGATGCACAACTTTGCACGAGAGCAAGTCAACTTGGCGACGGAGAAGATGAAGACCCGTTACGACACAAGAGCTACTGAACATCAATTCCACGAAGGAGACAAGGTGTGGTTGTGGAATCCGACTCGACGGAAAGGACTGTCCGAAATTACAGTCACCTTGGGATGGTCCGTACACAGTCCTAAACAGGCTGAATTATGTCGTGGTTCGGATCTGTAAGTCTTCGAACTATAAACCTAAAGTCGTTCATTACGACAGGTTAGCTCATTACTATGGCATAGTATGTAGTATAAATAATTGTAAATAGTGTAAGACCATGGTCCTTTTTGTTTCTAAATGTGTATTTAGTATTTGATTTGTATTTTGCATTTGATTTAATTTGTATTTGTATTTGATAGCATTTGATTTGTTTTATTTATTGCATTTATTGTTCATGTTGTTTATTATTGTAATGTAGTAATGTAATGCTTATTAATGCATTTATGCCACAGTTGTAAGTTTAGCTTCCCGTCCAGGGATTGTATTGCCCGGGACGTGCAGTCCTTGGGAAGGGGGCAGTGTTACGAATTTTGGTATTTAAAAAGCTAATGTTAGTTCAATTATAAATTAAATGGTTTTATTTCCTGCGCAGTGCAGCGTGTGACGAATATTAAAAGAAAGCTAAGCCGGAAAAATTGAAAATACAAGAGCATGTGCATTTAACATTAAATAAATAAATATATCTTTTTGATTTCGAGAAAATACCAGAAAATTCTCGCACACGATTTAAAAATCTTTTATAAGCGGCAGGAAAACCTCTCAGTTCGTTAGTTAGTTACGTTAGTTTTTGTTCAAGAGTTTGTTTTAAGAAAATTGCTCTTGTTGACTCTAGCGAATTCGCGGATTAGCTTTCTTTAAGCTGCTTTGAATTACGTTCTATTGGACATTTGAGTAGTTAAAAGATAACTTACTGTGAGATATTGTAAATAATGCTTGATAATTGAGAAAATTTAAGTATTTTGTTTTATTTTTGTTGTGATAATAATAAATTTTTGTTCATTTTTCATCGGACTTGTGCATTCATTTCATAACGAACCCGTACGCACGCAACAATAGTCATTCACATGTACTGAAAAACATAATACATATTGTGGATAATTCTTTCATAACATTTGCTCTATATTTGTAAAGTACCAGCTGTTTTAAAATTAATGAGGCGATTCATTTTGTGTGTGTGTGTTTTATGCTAACTGTATTTTTTAATATTAATCATACATTATCTGTAAGTGTTTAAGGCCATTAGAAATGCAGAAATTTTTTTAAATTTGATGTAAGCTGAGTGATCATTCACTGAGCTTCATAGTACACATTATAAACATACTAACCTCAAAATCGCTAGCATTCCTTTCCATTATTTTGCAGTTCACAAGAACAAAAACTTATGGCAATTGTTTTAAAATACTTCAAGGCTATCCCACCAATCAGTATAGTACCAATGAATGGCAGTGCATTCAACTGACTTCTAGTTATATGTAAATGCAGGTGTACTGCAATAGGGAAAATGCTTGTCTGTATTCGTATGTGTTGTGAAGGTTTCCTTCCTAACAGACATATCCATTGCTCTAATTTAAACAGAACTCGGATTTCAGTTTGCATCTCTCGTATGTTTTAGTATAAATGATTATTTTTGCTCAAATTTTTCTTAGGTGCTGGGTAGGCTGTTGCTTGATTCCATGTTGTATCCCAGAGTGTCAAGATATTGAACACCGTTGTCCAAGTTGCAAGCAACATCTAGGCACATTTCGCAGACTGTAATTGTGAATATGGGGAAAAGATGAAAGTAAAGCTTTCTTGCAACAGTTTGTGGATTTCAACAGTAGCTGTGTGAGCATATTACATGCAAAGGATATTTTTTATGCTCTTTTATTCTAGTGCTGTGTAAACATGTCCATCTTGTGTGTTATTTCTTCAAACTGGTAAAGATTTAATGTGATACATAATTTAAGCTTATTGGAAACTTTAACTCCAAGTTTGCCTTTGTTGTTATTTATTTTTGCATTTCTTACAAATATGGATTTTTCAGTTAGAATATCTAGCTTTCTGTATTTTGAAAATTTTAGAGTGTTTCTGTTTAAAACTTTTGTATTTTGGTTAAAATATTTTATGTGTTATATATAATATACATTATATTTTGTTTAACATGTGTTACATCTCTAGTCTTCAAAGCTGTTTGTAGCAATATTTTTGATGTTAACTGTGTTGCTTAACAATTGAAAGTATTTCAGAAATATTTTTAATATTATATACATTTTTATTAATTACTTTAAAAATTTTATCCTTGATGTGAAACTGGCATGTGATCAATCTAAAATGTCAAAGCAGTGACATAGTTTATAAGCGTATCGAATTTGTGCTTGAATATTGCGTTTTGCTATTAATATGTGCTTTTTAAAGATGTTGCATGCTGCATAAGAAATTATTGTTATGCGCAGTATTTTCAGTGGTCATTGAGTATAGTCATGTAATAGTTTTTTTTTTTTAATTTTATTTTATTAATTGTGCATGTTTGTTCTGAAGAGAATCACTTTTTATGCTGTGAAAAATTACTGAAAATATTTAATTCGAAAAGGAGCTGCAAAAGTTTTCTGTAGTAGTTCAGTTACTCCCCCCCAAAAATCAACAATTTTAAAATGTTTTGCATATGGAATTAAATACAGTGTTTCATTCATTTCACATGTGTCTTTATAAAGAATAATTTATATATATGTGTGTGTGTGTGTGTCTAAAGCTTGAGATGTAGCTTATTTCCCAAAATATACTACATTTTGCATTTTTGCTAGCTAGTGCTTACAAAACTAAGTTTGCAATAATGTATGAGTATTTGGGGAATCTGATTTAGAATATGTCTGAATATTGTATCAAAATATAAAACACTCTTCATATTTAATAATATGATTATTTAACACATTTCATCAAAAGAATGAATTTATACAATATTCAAACATTTCTAAGTTAGAGAGTGAATTCTTTTATTAAATGACAATATTTTTTCCTAATTACAGTGAAATTTTAGACTACCTTTTTATAACAGATTGCTACTTGTTACTTTGGTAATCTTCTTATTTATAAATCATTTAATTACTTTTCACTTCATGATTACTCTAGTGTATTTGCTACAGTCTGTAAGCAGAATATGGTTCTTCTGATTAGCAAATTTGAGATAATTTGTATTATTGTCAGATTCTTCTTGAACAAATACATATGCATTAATAATTTTCTCCTTAGCTCCTGATTGGCCAAAGCCTAAAGTGATAATCTCTAAGAGAAGATACCAGTGAATTATTTCTTCATATTATTAACCTTTTACCGTGGGCTCAAAAAATAGCTGTGTTTCTTCGCTGGGGGCTCCTGGCTCAGCGGTTATGGAAAGGGGGGGGATTTATCAGATCAAATCTTAGCAATGAGGTGATTAGTGCTTTTTTGTCAACAGACAGTGAAACAGTCAGTATTTCCTTTCAATCCAGTTCCAAAGCCCCAGGCATTAGAATGCGGGAAGTATTCTAATCACTTTCACACAGATGAAATGAAGTTTTTCACAAAACACAATTTATTATTTTATCTTCAGATGAAATGTACATTATAACTAGGAAATTTGTTCCCCCCAAAAAATGTTTCATTTTATGATTAAAATTAATTTTAAACTTGTACATAGATTATGTGCTGAAAAATAAGTGAAGCAATCAAAGTTAAATATATTCATTTGTCATAGTGTAGAGAATTCAGTGATTTAAAATATTCAAACATTTCCTTCAAACAATATATACATCCTCATTTAAAGTAGTATAATTTTTTTGATATTGAAGAGCTGATTAAATAGAGTTTATTTGTTACAAGTATAATTTAAAAAGCATTTTCAAATTTCCAAATGAGTGTTATTGCTTGTACAAGTCTGGTAAAATTCATTTCTGGATAAATAGAAATTGGTCACTGCATTTGTGAACGACACATGCACTAACAAAAATTTACCATTGCATGAGGTGTGAATTTTTTTTTAAATATTTTTCTTCTATGTGACATTGCAAATACCTGTCCCAGGCTTGATCTGTCTTTATATGAGGGATATAAGACTTTTTAATTTTTTTAACCACTTCATAGTTTTTGGTTCAGGAAAGAAATGCAGAAGCAAACGCTGGAACTTTGGAAAATAAAATCCTTGTTGAGTTTTAATGTATTCGATAACAAAAATTTAGTTTTATCACTTAAAGATATTAGATATTACTTTTACCTTAGAAGAAGGGGAATAGTTAGTCGTTGATTTATATTGCTGTTGCATATTTTATTTGAATGCAAAATTGCATATTCAGGAATGCATTAAAATTTTAAAAAATAAAGATCTTTATAGAATCGCAAAATATTTTGGTTTTTTTTTTTATGAGCTGCATTTTAAGAAAGCTAAAATAGTCTTTGAGGTATCACATTGTTTTGCAAAATTTTTTGATCTCAAGCTTTTTATTGTTGCTTTCTTTGGGAGTAATGAAGATTTACATTGAGTTGATGAGTATTAATGAAGACTCGTACTGGGAATTAAGTTCAGGGAGCTAAAAAATGGTACACATCTAATTTCCTGTGTACATGCTTAGTATCCTAATATATTGTTTGATTCCCTCCAAAATACAATTCTCATGCAAAAATTAATTATTTTTTTAACACTACCTGTGACTCAGTGGTCAAGACTGCTGGATACTGGTAGTTCGACTAAGATTCTAACCCAGGCTGGCTGCATAGTTGATTTTCCTCGTTTTCTCCATGTGAAACGTGAATACAAGCCATTTTCCCTTAAAAGTTCTTCATAAAGGCACCCTTTGCCTTAGGTAGACAGCTTTGTGGGCTTTCCCATGTTCAATTAACTTAAACTAATGTATCTACTTTCTGAATGAATTGATACAGATATCATAGTATAGACGCAAACATATAACAATGGATAAATTAATAAGTTTTGGAACATTTTAAAATTTTGAATTATGAAATGTACTACACTAATTGCTTTGATAAAAATTCATATTTCATTTGTCGCACAGTTGAAAATTATTTTGTCATCAACATCAGTATTATTCATAAAAGGAAAGTTTTTTAAACATAGTTGTAAAACGCTCATATGTTTAGCTTTCTTTTCTTATTTCGAATATAATTTTATTTTTATTTGTCGAATTAAAGACAAGGTTATCTGCCGAAGTGAAAGGGGCTTTTGTGGAGGGTGTTTGAAGGAAATTGGCTTGTATGTATTTTACATATATGAGAGAACATGAAAAGTTATGCAGTGACCCCCATTGATCAGAATTTGAATCTGAGTGGAATTTTCAGTGTTAAAGAAGTTTTATGCATTCGGTCGCTAGTTATCATTTAGAATAGTGTTTCTCAACCTTTATTGGCCTGTGGACCGACAAAATTTGTGAACAAATTTCGGAACAAATTTCGCGGACCGGTGGTTAAAGCACATGCACACGGACAAGCAAAGTGCTCTCCTGGAATTAAACTATGGTTGAAAAAATTATTAAACTTTTAAGTTGTTAATGCGCTCATAATTAGGAAATACCCGATTCTTGTTTAATAGGGGTAGGGCCTGAGGACCAGGTACCCGGGTGTGTATAGCATTCTGCAGTGAAACCAACCTATACCTCTGAATGTTCTCCAGAATGTTTGTCACATTTCGCTACCGCTTCATTTACACCGATGGACTTTACTGCATCCCAGAATTACTGTAACCCTTTCTCTGCTCTGAGCTCTCCATCTAGTTTTTTTAAAAAATGCGAGATGTAACAAGCGACAAATGTGAGCATACTCTAGTGTTGTAAACCTTCAAATACAAAATTTTCAACCTCTTCATGTCGCTTTTCTTTGCTCAAGTGGCAACGGCTGAAATAATCGGAATTCATAATAACAATTGAATTTGGTTAAAAAACTTCATTGTCATTTGCTTAACTTCTGTTTTCTTGTAAATGAAATTACTTAAAGAAGTTCGTTCTATTTATTACACTAATAATACAGCTGCCATTATTCAATGGACTTCAAAAAATAATAAGCGTTTCTCCACTGAAAACTAATATATCTTGTTTAGACTACTCATTACCCGCAAATACACGTTCGTGGCACAACAATAGGTCTCATAATACTAATGAATGTAAATTAAACAGACAATAACAGACATGTTGAGAAAGCTTGAGATAATGTGTTGCGCAATATGCATGTCAGATTTTAGTTATTTTCTTTTGTAAACGACGGTAGGTATATTGTCATAATACTTCTGAATTTGGAAGGACTGGCAAATAGTGTTTACAGACCGGCCCGTGGACTGTCTGTTGAAAAACACTGATTTAGAACATAACAAACTAAAATTTTACTCAAGTAAACAGTAGTTGTGGAACGTATGCCATTTGGAAACAACATTAAAATTAATTTTCATCGCCTGAAACTTTTACATTCACTACACTGGCTTCTACATGCACATTAAAAACTGGAATAAATCGAAAAAACAATTATGAAAAGAATGAAACAAAGAAAATTTCCTTTAAATTTAGCCATTACTTACAACCGAACTAAAAAAAAAAGGAAAATATCAAGTGAAAGAACTAATAATGGTTTTTGCAGTGAAAAAAAAAAAACTGAAGGAAGGTCTTAAAATGCAAACGCGTGAGAATCGAAGTAACAAATTATTCTTTTTATTTTCTCCTCTTAAGAAAATATTTCTTGGAAGGTACCAAATTCGCAAATGCCATGTGTGTTGAAAATACAAACAACAATTCCCCTCTGCTCATTAGCGGAGTCCCACAAAAGTACGCACTGTCCGAGGTGTCGTAAAATAAAATAGTCCTCAAGTGCTAGAATTCCTATCCCTGTGACCAGCAAGAAGCTGTCTTAAGACCCCAGTTGCTGTACACTTAGCTTGGGACATATATGTCCCAGCCCTCGGGAAAAGGTTAATAAACTGCATAAAACATTCATATTTAGATTGCTAAATATGAATATTTTGTACATGTGATAGCATGTTCATATATATTCTTCACCAGATTCACAAAGTATTCATAAATTGTTATATAAGTGACCAGTGAGTTTCCGGAGTGGTTAGACTTTCAGGCTTTGGTCTTAACACATATCTGTATGTATTGAAAATTATGCAAATTTCATTTATTGAAAAGGCAAAATGAAAATTAAGTTGATACAAGATTTAGATATTCTGAGCATAAAATTAAATGAATCCTTAAATATGTACTATATATGACATCAGATTCAAAATTCCATGAAGAACTATCAGTCATGTATTTATGTATGAAAAACTGATGAAAAGTTTTCAATACAAAATGCGATTAACACTTGTAGTTATGGATATTATGCAGTGTGATGATGTAAACGATGAATTAGAATTTATGGGTAAACAGGAAAAAAGGGCTTTAATAAATTTTGAATTATGATTTTAAAAATGTGTAAAAGAAATAATGCATTTGATATTTTAGTGATTTATGACCTTTTTTACATTTATATGTGATGTTTCTGTGAATATACATTGCTATGTGTTTTGTAGCTATTGCTGCAAAAAGCTTATTTGTTCAATGTCTTAAATGCAAGTATCTTCACAAAATAAGGAGCAATTTACTATGTTTTCGGTCAGTCATTGTTAGCATTTTGTTTTCTGAAAGTCTGAATTCACTGTCCTTTAACTTTTAGATTATATTTAAATAATTTTCTGGCCACATTTTGCTATAAATTCTACAGAAATACACTGCAAAGTAAAATTAAAAAATGGAATTATACTAACTTTTGCTGTATTTCTGGAATACAAAAAAAGTTGTGTTCTGAAGTTACATAAAATTGCCAATTCTTGCCTGCCAAGAGTTTTCATGCTTTATTATCCTTTTTTTCAAAACTAATTACTTAATGAAAAAAAACTCCGTATGCACAATATAATGTTAAAAAAATCAAGTGAAATGTTAATTTTGATCTAAAAAAATGCTGTTGGCTATGTTTCTAGAAATTGATTTACAAATGTAAATTTCAACTTAAAGTTTATTTAATAATTTTTATTTAGCTAATACTAGTAATTGATGTTAATTGTTTCATTCCTGGTGTATATAGGCCTTCCTACGGAAATGTTATTCTAAATTCTGTACTGAAATTTTTTTTGAAACGTTACTAGTGCAAAACTTGTCCATTTAGCCTTTTTCTCATAGTGATAAAATTACTGCCCTAGATATCACTCTTGACAGTAAAATTTCAATATGCTTCTGTTTTCAGGAGTTCAAAATCACTCTTGACAGTAAAATTTCAATATGCTTCTGTTTTCAGGAGTTCAAAATTAATATAAAATCTTTCAGAACAATTTATACTTCATATCATAAAAACATTTTGTTCAAGGATATGTATGAGTTTTATTTACACTGTCAGTTAAAAATTGATAAATATGCTTTATACAGTAAAACTCATTATTTGGACTAACTGAGGTCATAGCCCATTCCATGTAATAAAAATGTCTGGATAACTGAGTGTTCCATAAGTATCTTTTTTTTTTAAATGATGCCATGTGCATTAGCTTGTTAATAAAAGATATCTGACTGCAGTTATGTTGCACATTGTGAGACTAATTCTTTGTGCGGACAGGGGATTGTCACATTATCGTGTTTAGTCCCCTTCTTCTTCTTCTTTTTTTTTTTTAATTCTTATTATTGCTGATTAATGATGCTTGTTATAACCAAAGAGCATAGGCTTACATACAATATGAATTTTGTTTCTGTTAATGTTAATAGAGTTCTTTGCAATCATCCAAAGTGTCCAAATTCTTGGTAGACATTAAGCAAATTATTGCTAAGCCTGAGGTAATAACTGAAACTTAAGAAGGGTGTAAAAGGCCCTTTATTTTAAACTAAATAAGAACAGAAGGCAAACCTTATGCTTACAACTCAGCCAACCAGTTGTTGTGATATAATTTAAAATAACACTAAGTTCAGTCTTAAAATTTAAATTCAATTAAGGTAGTAGCCAAAGACTACACAAATCGATTTAATATGAAGTTGGCACAAAACTTAATTGGAATGAATATTAACTATCAGCAATTATAATGCAAGGCCGAAGACTACAAAGCTTATTTTATCTAGCAACCTAGTAATGTGGCCCTGAGAGACAGAACACTTTCTGTCTTACAATCTAAGAACATCATCTTAAATGCATGCATACTAATTTTCATTGTGGTGGGAAAACAAAAGGGAGCAGTAACAGTAAAGATCCAAAACATAAAATAACTGGTTAATTAATATAAAGGAACCTTACATGTTTACATGCTGTGTATTTGCTGAAACTTAAGAGCAAAGTTCTTATCATGCTCATCCATCTAAATTAAATTAATAGTGTCTTAAAATGTGTATTGCATTGTCTTTTTATATTACTTACATCAACAAAATCAATTTAAACCATATAAATTAACAGCAAGCTGAATTTTTACTTGGTCTAGAAAAGGTAATTGATTTGAATAATCGGAATTTTATATATCTGCAGCCCAGATATATGTTATGCATTTATCTTTAATCACTTATCTTAATCTCAGATCTCAAATATCTTAAATTTTTTTTCTCATTTAGTGAATGAAAAAGTGCTAGGAATGGAAATCTTTGGTAGTTTGTAAAGGAGCATATACAGGGTATTTCAGAAAAAGTGGACATGCTTTTAAGATATGGCAGAACACACGGAAGTAATTATTTTTTGGCCGAAAATGAAACAAAGGTGCTGGAAGATGCTTTGTAGCGAAGCCAAAGCTGATGAGGTGCAAACACGAGATTGCCACAGAAGATTAAAAAAAAATTAACAAACTTGAATTATTATATTAATTGCTCGAAAGAGCAAGTGCAAATGGAAGAATTAGCGGAATTTCTCGAACATCTCACACATATCACATGCACACAGCTGCAGCAGCAACCGAAATTCTGGCAGTGAGTTCATCAGCTTCAAAGGAAGTCTCCTGTAGACGAGACTTCTTGAGTTGACTTATATGGCAAATCAGGCGACTGTGGAAACTTGGGTGGGGGGCATAAGATGGTTCCTTACATATTGTCAAAAATGGATCGGTGTTCCATTGTGCTGGAACGCATCTGCCTTTGGCTGGTTTCTGGAACATCCTCCAGCAATTCTAGCTGAGAAGAGAATACCGGTTTTCTTGCCAATAATGTATTAATCCATCGACTCAAAATCCTTGACAATTTTTTAGATCTTAATCAATGTTTTCTTTGGTAACTATGATAAACCCAGATGGGGAACCTCATGTGAAACGTCGAAAAATTTGTGTCCATAAAAATATGGATAGTGGCAACATGAAAAAATAAAGTACAAAACTGTTCTCTTAACTAGCAAAGTCTTGGGTGCTGTGTCTTGTCAAAAATACGAATCCGAAGGCAAGAAATAACAAGGAGAAAGATCTGTTTGTGGGAAGCTAGTTTAGTGTCCCTGGTTGGATTAATTTAGGATTTCAACCGCTTTCTAAGCAAACTTGAGTTTCTGAAGTGTCGATACAGCCTTTCTGCTTTTTTCTGCATATATGACTTTCTTTAAGAGAGATTGCAACGAAAACCGTTGAAGATATCTTCCTTTATGCCTTTTTCTTGTACAGAAGGAGGGCCGGAAATCGAAGCTGTGCGACGATTTTTCCACTCCTTAGGAGCTGTTTTCATAGTTGAGAGAGTTTGAGTTTCTTCTTTACCCTGAAATCTCGAGAATTTCGGGCTTAGTTCACTCAATGTTCTCCAGAACACTTCAAGCAAGTGGTTTTATTCCCTTCTTCCTGCACATTTTAAGCATCTGGGGAGATTAAAGCAAATCTGTCCATGTCCTAAACGTTAGCATTAATAGAACTTAACTGAAACTCTCTCCGTTTAAAAGATTTAATCGTGACTTGCAAAAGCATCAAAATTTTCACTTTGAACTCCCCTCCCCCTTTATTAGATATTTCTAGGAAAATCACTAGAAGTTTCTCATGATTGTCTTGTGAATTGCTTAGTCTTTTTCGCATGTATTCCAAACATTGTAAGTTCACAATAAATATCCTTTTCTTCATTATCTGCTGTTATATCACAAATAATGGCTTTGATTAGAGGTATCGGTTATTTGTGGGAAATGCTAAATTATTGGATCTCCTCCTTAGTAAGACAAACAGTTGCCTCGTGTCGCATCGAATTTGAACAGTCTCTTGAAAGAATTCCTTAAAACACAGTTATATTATTTTCAATGAGAAGTGTCTGGTTTTCATTGTAGTATTTCTTTTCATTTTATCTTTGACCATCGTCAGAAAATACTAGGTACAGTACACTGCCGATTATCTGCGGAATTGGGTGGCGTGGCCGCCGCGGATAACAAAAATCGTGGATAATCCGAAAAAAGCTAAAAACGGGTATTGCAAAAGAGAAAACAGTCATTCCAACTTTGAAAAATCCTTTTATATACAATAAAACGTAAACTAAACAGCAGAAAATGTTTAACTAACGCTTAATATTTTAGTATATCACTCAAAATTAACCTGAAATTCATTTTGTTAATGAAAACAGAAAAGTGCTTTGTACTTACGAGAGGCTTCAAGGATACACAGAAAAATTAATACGCATGTACTGTTTTAATACTGTAATGTATTATGTAATTACAAAAGCATAACTGTAAAACTACACCTTTGTGGAGAAATCAGTCATTTGTGTTTGCTTCTTGTTTTGGAAGCATTTTTTCTTGATACGAGATTGCATTTTTTGTATTATAAGTTTCTCGGCTAACTCCAACTCCACGTCGTCTTGTTCTTCCAAATAGCTCCAGCAGTCCTGCGACTTGTTGCAAAGCCGCTTTGTGAGTCTTCTGCATCTGCACAGTGGGCTCGTCTCCGCCTTCACTTCGCTGTCCTTCATTATCGGTCTCTCCCCTTGCTTTCTTCCATGGAGGTAGGAAGTAAGATGGAGTCGCCCTAAACAAGTTTCTCCGTACCCTGCTCTGAAGCACCGACGATCCCTACGTGGTGACCAAAACATTGGGTCATTTACCATTGAGTTCTATGGGATTTGACGCATTCAGGTGTAAATATTTTGTAATTACGTTGCAAATATACATATAAATGTATATATTTTCTTTTTCTACAACACTTCAGAGTCCTAAGTATGTGAAAACAACATATTTTTAAACAACATTTCATTCTGAACAGAATTAAATGCTATACTTTTCACAGGACAGTTTTTTCAGAATGGTTTAATTTGAATGAAATATTTTCACAAGTTTTCGTTAATTACATTAGAAAAAAAAAAATTAAGGTAATTCGATTTTATTCGGTTAAGGTACAAAAATTAGGATCAAAGTTATTGTATTATAATTATTAAAATTATGCATTATTTCTTTTCTATTTATAGAGCTTCTTCCTAAAATACTTTCTTAAATATGGACATGATTTTTTTGGCTTCTTTTAAATCGAAAAATGTAAGTCAATTTATAATTAATGCTCTATTCGGTTCATTTTAAATTAGAGAATTAGGAATTAGCGAAATACTTTAAAGTATTTCGCTAATTCCTAATAATTAAATAGGTATTAATAGTATTTGACTTTCTCTGAACATTTCTGAAAGGGAATAAAATAAGTTTTTTTTTTTTTTTTTTTTTTTAAATATGTATTATTTAAAACTTGTAACTGAGTTATTATAAAATGTAAAGGGAATAATTCTTTTAATATACTTATCAGATTTTTTTTTTTACAATTCATTTCAACAATTATATTCCAAAACTCTTATTACGTTCTTAAGTGCGCATCTCATAGCATTTGCTTTACAATACCTTTTAACAGATTGCTCTCCAATACGAACAATTCTTGCTTAAATAATTTTATAACGTATTTGTCACACGGATTTCAATTTATGTTTACAATTCAATATTAAAGTTATTATATATTTAGATAACATTTATATAATCATTATAAATTAGATACATTTAATCGTTAGATTTCTTCACAGTTGTTTATAAGTGAATAAATTCTTCATTTCAGATACATTTATAAATAATTTAATGAATATTTAAGTACTTTGTCAAAGGCAGATAAATGCTTTTTCAAGCACATGCATAAATACCCATACATATTTCCTATTTTTCATTTCCGGCATGTGCAAATCTTTAATTTCTGTGCATTCACTATATTTTTCGTGTAAAGTAATTTACACTAATTTAGCATACACCCGAAAGTTTTACATAAAAAATATATATGAATATAATTTGAATGAAAATTAAGTATTATTCTTAATACCCACTCAAAGGTCAGTTTTTCTTCAAAATTCCTCCACGATGGCATCTCTCTCTTTAGGCAGATAGCCCTTGCATGCATTACTCTATTTAATAAAAACTTAATATGACCTATGTGCCTAATTACAAATATTTTAACATACATAATTTTATATTTACATTTAGCCATCAAGTTTAAAACTTTTCAAATCTAGAAAATAAATTTTGGCAGATCTCTTTTAGCAATTTTCTTAAAATATATTTTTGTAGTGCAACTGCTTAGAATTTTATAAAACAAATTCATAATCAAATCGCTGTTG